AATGCTGTACAGATTTGATTATCTGTGGTCTCCTGTCCCTTGTCATTTGCTTGGCAGAATTTTTTCCCCCACTGTCTTTGCTTTCTAGGAAGTATAAAGCATGCTCCCTTGGAAATCTAAATTTGTATACAATCTTGTTGAATCAGTTCCCTATAGTCACAATATATTTTATTACATATGGAAATAATTATGTTAGCCATTTCTTTAGTGAAAGATACGTGTAACTAATCAATTGTTTCACATTGCTATTTTTTTTTCTTTAAAAATTGTGTTTATGCCTGGTGGTGGTGGTGGTGGAGGAGGAGGTGGTAGTGGTGGTGGTAGTACACTCCTTTAATCCAAGGACTCAGAAAGCAGAGGCAGGCAGATCTCTGTAGGTTGGAGGCCAGCCTGGTCTACAGAGCAAGTTCCAGGACAGCCAAGGCTGTTACACAATGAAGCCCTGTCTCAAAAAACCAAAAATAAAAAGTAAAAAGAATTGTATTTATTTATTAATTAGTTTGTGAGAGAGGGAGAGAGAGAGAGAACACAAAAGCCTGTATGCTTTAGTATGAATGTGGAGGTCAACTTTACAGGGCTCTGGTCTCTCCTACCACCAAGTTCTGGGGATCAGCTCAGGGCATCAGGCTTGGTGGTAACTGCCTTTACCTGTTGGGCCGTCTTGACAACCCTATTTCCTTTGTTTTTTTAGACTTTATTTATTTATACATTTATTTTGGCTTTTCTTTTTCCTTTTCCCAAGACAGAGGTTACACTGTGTAGCCCTGGCTGTCCTGGAACTCTATTTTGGCTTTTTTGGGGGGTGGGGATTTTGAGACAGTCTCACTATGGAGCTCTAGCTAGAACTCACTGTGTAGACCAGGCTAGCCTCAAACTCACAGCGATCCACCTCCCTCTGCTGTGGGGGTGCTGGGATTAACCACATGTGCCACCAGGCCCAGCTTTTTATTTTTATTTATTTATTGGTTTTTCAAGTAGACCACACTAGCCTCAAACTCACAGAGATCACCTGCCTTTGCCTCCCAAGTGCTGGGATCAAAGGTGTGTGCTACCACCACCCAGAGCGGCTTTTTATTTTTATTGTATGTATCTGTATGTGAGTGCATTCAGGTTACTATGGAGGCCAGAAGAGGATGTTGAATCCCTTGGAGCTGGAGTAACAGGCAGTTGTGAGCCTCTTGATGCTGTGATCCAATCTTGGGTCCTCTGCAAGAGCAGTATGTACTCTTAATTACTAAGTATCTTTCTAAGCCCACATTATTTGATTTTAAAATTAAGGCCAGCTGAAGTTACTTTCCTTTATTACAGATGAAGAACAAATGATTTGAAGCATAACAATGCTGCATTCACTAGCAGAATTTAATGATAATAAGAGGTAAGAAAAAGATAATAAAAATTTAAGAGTGCTACCGTATTTTCATTGATTGGACAAGCACATAGCCTCTGACATTTGCCAACATTGTGCTCATACATAATTGTCATTGTAGAATGCATTGCATTAGTTACTGTGGAGATCTGAATGAGAATGGCCCCCATAGGCTCATATATTTGAATACTTGGTCCCTCATTGGTGAAACTGTTCTGGGAAGGAATGAGAGGTATGGCCTTGTTGGAAAAGGTAGGTGTACCAGTCACTGGAGTGGGGGGGTGGGGGGGGGAGTAGTGCCTTTATCCCTTCACCAAGCCCAGTCTCTTTCTCTGTCACCTGCCTGTGGATCAGATGTAAGCTCTCAGCTACTGCTCAGCACCTTGCCTGCCTGCTGCCTCTCTGCCCCCATGATGGTTATGGACTCACCCTTGAAACTGGAAGCAAGCCCCCAATTAAATTATTTCTTTTATAAGTTGTCTTGATCATGGTATCTCTTCACAGCAACAGAAAAATAACTAAGAAAGTTACTAGTATGTAGTCATAGAATGTATTACATTAACAACTAATCTATTATATTAGTTACTGTAGCCTTATCCTGTGCATACCTCTGCAAACCACATAACCAAAGAAGCTACATCATAGAAAAAACAACAACACTGAAATGAAAATGAACAAGACTGTTCAGAGCTTTTGGGGGGGGGTTTTGGTTTGGTTTGGTTTTTTTCATTGTTGTTATTTTTTGGTTTTGTTTGTTTGTTTTTCAAGACAGGGTTTCTCTGTGTAGCCCTGGCTGTTCTAGAACTCACTTTGTAGACCAGGCTGGCCTCGAACTCACAGAGATGCACCTGCCTCTGCCTCCTGAGTGCTGGGATTAAAGGCGTGTGCCACCATGGCCTGGCTTGTTCCGTTATTTTAACAGGGTAATTTTTGATACATATGTCTACTGCTAATACATTAATCAATTTGTTTTGGCAGACTGCGAAGCCATGCAATACTTTTGTAATAATATTTAAAGTCACCACAATGTTAACAAAATTTCCTAAATAAAATTGCAAATAATTCTTGAAATCCCTGAGCAAAGCCTGTATGTCAGAGGATGTAGGACCAGTAATACTGGGACCACAGACTGGTTCTGTCTGGGGCCTCTAGAGAGCTACAAGTAAGTCCCAGTTGCTTTGTGTGGATGCATTTGCACTGAACACCAATGGCCACTAGACTGCAAGTGTAGTTCTGTTCTGATTATGGGGAGCTCCCTTACCCTACTGATACTCTGCTGACAAATTCTGGAGTCTTCAGATCTCCACTCTGTACTCTAAATTAGTGGCACAGACCAGGTGAGCTCTACATTTCCCTTTGGCTCTATTTTATATCCCTACTTCCAGAAAGAGGGAGGATTGGAGCAGGGAGATATCTGGTTTCTCCTGGTACTTTAAGTAAACGGTCTCAAGAGTCAAAGTAGCCATGGAAGCAGGTTGAAGATGGCACAAGCCATGTGATTGTATGTGCTTGTTTTTCCTACATGTATGTATGTGTACCACGTGTATGGCTGGTGCCCTTAGAGGTCAGAAGAAGGCATCAGATCCCCCGGAACTGGAGTTACACATAGTTGTGAGCCACCATGTGGGTTTTGGGAACCAGCCTGGGTCCTCTGCAAATGCAACAAGTGCTTGTAACCTCTGAGCCATCTCTCCAGCCCCAAAGATTTACTTTTTTTATTATGTTTATTTATGTGTATCTTTGTATCCATTGGTGCCAGAGGAAGCACCAGAAGAGACTGTCAGGTCATGTAGAGCTGGAGTTGAGGTAGATATGAGCCACTCGACATGGGTGCTGGAAAAAGAACCCAGGTCCTCTGGAAGAACAGCAAGAGAAAAAAAGATAGAAAAAGGAAGGAAGAAAGAAAGAAATCTAGCTGTGGGAGTGAAACCTTGGAAACAAACTATCTTTTGCCAGCTACTCTCCTATCAGGCTTACTTTCTTTCCTGGAAAACCAGGATAGCCATGCCAGAATTCATCCAAACGTGGGAGGAAGGGTGTCGGATTTACAAATAACATTTGTAGGGAAAACATTTCCCTTGCTTCAGTTTTGTGAGCTTATGATATCTCACAGAAACCAAATAAAACCAAATGACAAGGAGGACCAAAGAATTTACAGATTATCAGACACTTAGCAGACTCTTCCTGTCACTTCTTCCGATAGAATACTAACAGCCACCAATCCAAACTGTGTGTCTTCTCTCTCAGAGCTCCATCCCTGGAACCCTATGCATCTCTCAGGTCCAGGGCACCCCACACAAGTTCCGAAACCCATGTTCCACAGAAGACCTCCCTAACACAGAACCCCAGAACACAATACCCCAAAACCTGCACTGCACTCTCATAACCCAACACAAACACACACTGGAACCTATACACACTCCTCAAAAAGCAATGCCTGTACGTCCTTCGACCCTCTAGGTCCCATGCCTCATCCACGTCCTTCAGAGCCTCTAGTGTGCCTCCGAACCCTGCACCCACCCAACCCTGAACACCAGCCCTCCTCAGAACTCTATCCCCTTCAAACCTGGTGCCCTACTGTGGTGGTTTGAATAAGAATGGCCCCCATAGGCTCATATATTTGCATGCTTAGTCATCAGAGAGTGGCACTTTTTGAGAAGGATTAGGAGGTGTGGCTTTGTTGGAGGAACTGTGTCACTGGGGGTGGGCTTTCAAGTTTCAAAAACCCACACCAGGCCCAGAGTCTCTCTCTGCCTGGGGATCAGAATGTAGCTCTCAGCCGACACTCCAGCACCATGCCTTCTTTGGAGCTGCCATACTCCCCACCATGATGATAATGGACTAACCCCTCTGCAACTGTAAGCAAGCCCCCAATGAAATACTTTCTTTTATAAGAGCTGCCTTGGTCATGATGTCTCTTCAAAGCAATAGGTCAGTGATGAAAACAGCTACATACCCTTTTGGGGTCAGGAGCACAGATTGGAGAAGCTCACTACCAACAGAACCATGTGTCCAAGACTACCTCAGTACCTCACGCTCCACAGATACCTACACTCCAGGGTCCCTCCTGTTCCTCAGATCCACCACACAGAACTTCATGAGCAAGTTTCCCTCAACTGTCCCTCAAAGTCGAGAGACCCTGGGGGTCAGTCCCAAACTTACCTTCATTATATGCTCCTCAGAACTGTTCATAACCTGAGCCCCTGAGGACCCGGTTCTTCTCAAATGTCTGCACCCCTAACACCCTGATGCTCACCAGAACCCTGTGCCCCAGAGACGCCTGTTCAGCTCTGTGTGATACATCCCTCCGGCCTACAAATGAATCTCGAACCGCTCAGAACCCTGGAGTCCCCAGACTCTTGCCCCTCAGACCTCAACCCCTCAGTGTTCCCGCGCCTCAGATCCCCGAGCCTCAGGACCTCGTGCCTCCCACAACCCAGCTCCCTTCAGACCCCCGCGCGCCCCTTAGACGACCATGCCCCTGGACCTCGCGCTCTTCAGACCCGCACCACACGCCTCATATCCTCGCGCCCTCAGATCCGCGAGACCCTCAGGACTGGACTCCGTGCCACACTCCAACAAGTCCCCGAGGCCGCCTGGGGCAGCAGCGCCCGCCCGCCCGCCCGGCCCGCACCTGGCGCAGTTGGGTCTCGGTGGCTCCTTCCTCCTGCCGCCTCAGCTGCTCACGGAAGCGCTCCACCTGATCCAGAAGCGCGTCCACGAGCGACGGCGCCGTGTCCCCTTCCAGAGCCGCTAGGCGGGTGCGGAGGCTCGCGATAAGGGCGTCGCGCGCCGCCAGCTGATCCTGTAAGCGCCGCAGCTGCTGGCCCGCCTCGTGGTACAGGCTACAGAGCGCGGCGGCCGCGCGCGGGGTGCCGTCCTGTCTACCAGACCTTGCGTCCCCAGACGACATGACGGTGGACCTTCCTGGGGACCCGGGCACCTCGAACTTCTGCGTGTAGCGGGAGCGACAACGGGCCTTCCCGGAACTTTTCCCGCCTCGCCCCGCCCACCCCCGGGAGCCTAATCCGCCCCCACCCACAGCTGGCTCCGCCTCGCTCTCTGCCGGGAGTCTGACTCCGCCCCCGCCCACAGCTGGCTCCGCCTCGCTCACTGCCGAGACTCCGCCCCCTCCCACAGCTGGCTCCGCCTCGCTCTCTGCCGGGAGTCTGACTCCGCCCCCGCCCACAGATGGTACCGCCCCCTCCCACTCTGCGGTCCCACCCTGCCTTGACGCACCAGCTCCCTTCTAGGGGCTGTCCTCCCGCAGTGCTAGGCAGCCCTATTCCCTCCGTCTGAGGAATTTTCCCGGAGTCCGATCCAGTCTGCCACAGGGTTTGGGGTTCGGTTTTCTCTGGTACAGCTGCTGAAGGAAAGCAAATAAATCAAATGACTTCAAACATTGGACGTGGAGTGTGGTCAGGTTTCGTTGGCTGGGTTCCTTCCTCTTCAGGGGCTTGGTATGCGTTTTGTCGCGTAGGGGCGCTGAGCTCAGGGAGGACTTCCCATCCAGAATGCATAGTGGGCCCCAGAGCCAGTCACCAGACCCCAGCGTGCCCCTAAATTCGAGTTAGGACAACCTCGGTGCTAGAAGCTATTCTTTGAGCAGAAGGCAGGAGAGCGCCGGCCCTTCCCTCCCATACAAACGCTGTTTTCCCACTGAGAAGTCTCTTCCCCAACTCCCCGCAGTGAGGATCTTTCAAAGGCCCTTTGCTAAGGTCTAGTGGGGGTCCCCTCATGGGAGGATGTGTTTCTCCTTCTTGCTCAACATCCTGTCTGTTCCCTCGGAGTGGTCCACAGACAAGCCTGTAGAAACTCACCCACTTGCAGTATCAAACTATAAGCAAAGCCAGACCTCGACAAGTGTTTATGGGATGGACACTGGGAGTGGCCGACCTGGCTCAGCTATGGTCGGCTCCTTCTAAGCCCTTAGAGCCAAGAGAACAGATACTGGCTTCCCTTCCTGGTAGGGGTGTTGTGGCACTAGACAATGGGTGTGTCTTAGTTTCTTTTCTATTGCTGTGACGAAATGCCACGACCACGGCAGCTTATAAAAGAAAGCATTCAACTGGCCTTAAGTGCCAGAGGTTAAAGCTGAGAGCTCGTATCTTGATCTCCAAGCTGGAGCCAGAGAGCATGCTGAAACCTCAAAATCTCTCTGCCCCTCGTGACACACCTCTTCCAACAAGGCCACAATTCTAAATCCTTGCCAAATAGTTCCACCAACTGGGGACCAAATAGTCAAGCATGAGCCTATGGGAGTCGTTCTCATTCAAACTGCCACAAGGCCCATGTTCCACGATTGTCCGGCACAGTCATTGTTGTGTTCATCGTGACTGCCTGAGGCAGTGGTGGGATAAAGGGGAAGTCGGGGCGGGGCAGGGGGCAGCACACAGAAGAACCCTGGCCCAGAGCTGATTTGTGCTTCTGAGTCTTCACTGTTCCCACTGTGTGTAGCCTGGGGTGGGTCCCGATTTCATCCTGATTGTTAACTACAAAACAGACATCAAACAACCCAGAAACTTCTAATGCGCTCTGGGCCACATGTGTTCGGAGTTCAAAAGCTTTGATTTTAGGTAGGTGCCTATAACTGAGGTACCAACCTCTAAAAAGGAGTCCTCTTCCCAGTATCTATGCACATGGGGCAGGCCCCCCTACAATAAGCAGTACTTGACCTCTGTAACCGAGAGGACCCTGGGGAAATGGTGGAGGGTGACCTCTGCAGCGAAGTCATGAGATCCATTGTGTCTATAGACTTGCCCAGCTTGTCCAACTTCAGTGAAGGAATCAGCTTAGAACTAAACCATCTGTCCCCAGTGAAAGATTGCAGACCCAGCTTACACACTGGCTTCCATCTTGGAGAAGCCTCTGCACCGTATTTCCCAGGCATACTGCTCCAAGGCTCCTGACAAACCGCAATGGAACAAATGATGTTGTTTCAAGCTGCTAACACTTGGGAGTCTTTTTTAAAAAGACTGGAGAGCTGGGCGGTGGTGGCGTTCAGCACTCATGAAGCAGAGGCAGGCAGATCTCTGTGAGTTCGAGGCCAGCCTGGTCTACAGAGAGTTCCAGGACAGGCTCCAAAGCTACACAGAGAAACCCTGTCTCGGAAAACCAAAAAGACTGGAGAGATGGCTCTGCAGTTAAGAGCACTGGCAGCTCTTCCAGAGGACCTGGGTTCAATTCCCAGCACCCACATGGCAGCTCACAACTGTCTGTGACTCCCGTTCCGGGGAACCTGACACCCGTGGCAAAACACCAATGCACATAGAATAAAAATAAAATTAAAAAAATAAAAATAAACATGTGTGTGAATATGTGTGCGATATGTGTGTATGTGTACATAACGTGTGTGTGTGTGTGTGTGTGTGTGTGTGTGTGTGTGTGTGTGTGTGTAGAGGTCCGAGGTTGTTGATGCTGAGTGTCTCCCACTCTCTTCACCTTGTCTATCTTCTGAGGCAGGGTCTCTCACTGAACCCAAAGCTCACAGATTGGCCAGCATGTTCCAGGGATCCACCTATCTCCACCCCCTAAGCCCAGCCCCCATGCTAGGGTCATAGATGTGTGTGACCATGCTTGGCTTTTACATGGGTGCTATGATTCCAAAATCAGAGTCTTAGGTTACCTGCTGCACTGGGCTAGCTCTCCAGCCCCCTTGAAGGTTTTTTGTTTTTGTTTTTGTTTTTTTTTTTTTTGGTTTTGTTCTTTATTTTTGAGACAGAATCTCACGTTGTAGCCCTGGCTAGCCTGGAACTCTATGTAAACCAGGCTGGCCTGAAACTCACAGAGATCCACCTGCCTCTGCCTCCCTAGTACTGAGAATTAAAGGCATGTGCCACCACCTGTAATTTTTTTTTCTTGTCCTTTGTTTTTGACACAGGGTCCCACACTATATAATCCAAACTGGGATCACTTTGTAAACCAGGCTAGCCTCAAACCCATGACAATCTTCCTTCCTCAGCCCCCGCCCCCCAGTCCTGGGCTTATAGGAAGAGCTACTATCCCCAGCTCTGCTTGAAATCCTTTGGGGACCCTCTGGGGGTCCTGTCAACCCCACAAAACAAGTCAGTTTCTGGAAATACAGAGGGAATGACCACTCAAATTAATTATGACAAAGTTCAAGTCAGCTTTAGCACCAATGTTAAGGAAAATACTTTGGGTTTCTGAGCTCTTGGGGACTTTAGAACTGTAGATGAAGATTGCAGACTTCTTTTTTTTTTTCCCTGGAGCTGAGGACCGAACCCAGGGCCTCGTGCTTAGCTAGGCAAGCTCTCTACCACTGAGCTAAATCCCCAACCCCGACTGCAGACTTCTAAGAACACTTTCCAGTCGTTTCCTGCTGGGCGGTAATGGCACACGCCTTTAATCCCAGCACTTGAGAGGCAGAGCCAGGTGGAGCTCTGTGACTTCGAGGCCAGCATGGGCTACAGAGTGAGTTCCAGAAAAGGTGCAAAGCTACACAGAGAAACCCTGTCTCGAAAAACCAAAAAACAACCAAAAAAAAAAAAAAAAAAAAAAAAAAAACCAAAACACTTTCTTTCTATGGCATGTGAAGATCCTTTAAGTTAACACAGGAAGTTCACACACACATTTTAACTGAAATTCAGCTAAAGGGCCTAGAGATTAACAGGTAAAGGGGTTTTTTGTTGTTGTTTGGGTTTTTGTTTGTTTGTTTGTTTTTTCGAGACAGGGTTTCTCTGTGTACTTTTGGAGCCTGTCCTGGATCTTGCTCTGTAGACCAGGCTGGCCTGGAACTCACAGAGATCCGCCTGCCTCTGCTTCCCAAGTGCTGGGATTAAAGGGGTGCGCCATCACCGCCCAGCTGTTGTTTGGTTTTTTGTTTGTTTGTTTGAGACAGGATTTCTCTGTGTAACAACCCTAGCTCTCCTAGAACTCATAGACTAGGCTGGCCTCAAATTTTCAGAGATCCATGTAGCTGGAGAGCTTCTCTCCAGCTCCCGCCAAGCCCCTGCAGTCCGACAGCCCACCTATAAAATAAACACACAGACGCTTATATTATTTAAACTGTTTGGCCTAATGGCTCAGATTTCTAGCTATCTAGTTCTTACATCTTAAATTAACCCATTTCTATTAATCTATAAGTTGCCACGTGGCTCATGGCTTACTGGTACCTTACATCTCGCTTTCCATGGTGGCGGCTGGCAGTGTCTCCCTGCTCAGCCTTCCACCTCCCAGAATTCTCTTCTCTGCTTGTCCCACCTATACTTCCTGCCTGGCTACTGGCCAATCAGTGTTGTATTTATTAACCAATCAGAGCAACACATTTGACATACAGAACATCCCACAGCAGATCCACTTGCCTCTGCACACCCCCCACACACACACACACACAGTGCTTGGATTAAACACATGTACCACCACCACCCAGCATTATACGTAAATGTTCTAACAGTGGAGACAGATGCCCAGTCCAAGAAGTAGGGAAAGTTTGTATAAGCGTATTGGTTAATAATCATCATCGGCTTACCTGGAACACACCTGGGAGCGTGTCTGTGAGGTTTCCAGGAAGGATTCACTGAGAAGAGACGATCCATCCTAAATGTAAGCAGCACCATCCGATGCACTAGGATCTGGGCTGAATAAAAAGGAGAAAGTGAGTCTAGTGCCACTGTCGTCTCCTTTGGCTTCCTGGAATGTGACCCTCATGTTCCAGCTGCCATACCTTCCCCTTCTGATGGACTGTGTCCCCTCAGACCAGGAGCCGAGATAAGCCCTTCCTCCCCTGAGTGGTTTGTCGTTGGGAATTTTGTCTCAGCAACGAGAAAAGTAACTAGTATAGTAAGGGAAAGAAGGGGGAAATACATGGAGACCAAGAAGGGGAACGGGGAACCCACCTTAAAGAGGGTGATTAGATGAGCCAGAGCACAGACCTAGGATCCCAGCATCCAAGAGGCTGAGGCAGGAGGATCGTAAGTTTGGGACCAGCAAGTGTGTGTTTGTGTTGCGGGAGGCGACAGTTAGGAGGGAGATGGC